CGGGACGGCCGCCTGGCCGCGGGCGCAGGCCACTCCGGCCCCAAATCTGGTCCCCGCCGCCGCATGCATTATTTATTTCCTCTGCCCGAAAGCGCGGAGTCCTTGGGAAGAGAAAGTGCAGCCCGCACCCCGCTTTGCACCCCGCGCCCCGGCCGACCGCGAGTCGCCACGCGAAGTTGTGGGCTCCACGCGAGGCAGCTCGCCGCTGCCCAGACCCGCCGCCCGGGCGGGAGATAACGGTTTACCCCGGGACCTCGGGAGGCCGGGCAGCCGCGGCGGCTCGCGGCCCGGATCGCGGACGCATTTCCCCTCTGACACCCTGCTCATTGCAATCCCGAACTGCAGCAGCACTGGCGATCCGGTCTCAGAAGACCCGTAAATGCATCTTTTATGTCGAAATGGTCTGTTTGGGATTTAGGCCTAGCATTAATAATGGAAAGCAGTTGTTTTTAGTTATTGTAAAAGTTTTTTTTTTTTTTCCCTCCCCTATCAAACTTGCAAAGTTCCTATTTTAGGAACTTCTGGAAGTATGTAATGAAACTTTTCCAACCACTTCTGGCGAGGTTCACAATTGCATATGGATAAGATGCAAAGTGTTAGGATCATTTGAATGAATTAAAGACTGCAATGAAAACGCTGAGATTCGGAGGCTGAAGTTGTCGCTGGCTAAACTTTGCAACACGCAGAACTTGTGGATAATAACAGCGTGTTGCGACAGGGAGCAGCCGGCAGATGCTCCCGTGTCCCTTGGAGGGGCCGAGGGGATAAGCTGGCCTTTGGGGCCCTGTGCGCTGAGGGTACCTGTGCTCAGCAGGCCCAGCAGCTCCTCCTGCTTCTGCAGCTATTAGCACGTTAACAAAGATTTCTCTCTTTTTTTTTTTTCACTCCTGCGTATTTGGTAGCGTTGATTATACATTCACTAGGCCTTCGAATATTTATATTTGGTTTAAAGTTTGTAGAGAAAATGTACAATAAATAGTGAGTAAAATATCACTTCGGGGGGGTTCTTTTAGAAATTGATTTACAATTTACCTAATTTTCTGGAATATTTATAACACTTTAAAGCCAGTTTTTAGAACGAAAAAACTTAGCTTATTGTTCATTAAAAAAATCCAGTAAGCACAGTGATAAAAGTGCTCCACATGAAAGAATAGATTCCATATACTTGTATATAATTTAAAAAAAACTTTACCAGGAAAATACCAGGACAGCTTACTTTAACCTGGAAGGTGCATATCATAACTAAATCATGTACCTGATTATACAGTGATAACCCGGCAAAAATTTATAGGTGAACCTTAAATAGAAGTAGATTCTAGAAATACTACTATTCTGTGGTTCTTAAAATTGGCTTCCTTCAAACAGACCAACATTTAGGATGTCCTGATTTAAGATAATAGCCACTTTTTGGGTTTGTTTTCATTGGTGGCCTGTAACGCTCTCTCTGTGTAATATAGTCTTTGTTTTTCTTGAGTACTGTGAAATATTATGTAGCTGATGGTGTTTTGTTCAATAGCATGATTTATAAGGACATAATACCCACCCCCCATTACTTAGGCTGTCCCTGGACACTTCCTACAACCTAATGATGTTCCTACATTGCTGTTCTGGAGTGTTTCTCACCATGAGTTGAGAAAGATATATTTTTTAAAAATTAACTAGTGCTGACATGGTGCATTTGAGTAAAGTGTTCCAAAATAGTGTGCACTTATTGGCACATTCTAGAAATCCTGGGGAATAGCATGTTATAAACACTTTTGATGCAAAATTGGGAGCTTAGGTTGTTCTTAATGACTGGTTGACATAGCTGACCTCATTTATAGATTTTCATGATGAGATGTGTAGGACTTTGGCCGGCAGGTAAATAAATGCTTCTAAACTCCAGTGAACGGGGTCCCAGTTTTCAGAGAAGCATTTTGGGAGCACTTTTGGACATGGGAAGCGCTGTACTGCGATTTTTACTTAAAATGGTTATTATTAAGAAAGCTGTAAAATAAGTGCTTTAGTGTAGATGTGAAATGTCCGGAACCAAGTTGCTGTTGGTATTGTAAAAAAGGAGCAGAGGCTTTGAAACGAGGTCTTCCCTTTGATGGGAAGTCTGTGTAGTTGAGCATACACAGAAGTTCTTTGCAGAACGCCACCGAATCTTGGTCCCCGCGTGTCCTGTGTGCATACGAGGATGCGTCCACGCGAACACCATCTGAAACTTAAAATTTATGTATTTTAGAACATTTTAAGGATGAGCTCAGAATTTAGTAATGTTTAAGTGTTTTGTGGTTTGGCGTGTACCTTAGCAGATAAACTGTGACTTGTCCTTCCTTTCTTTTAAAGTATGGGAATAAGAAAGATTCTGAAGCATCAGAAAAATTTTAAAATGCTAATGGTTTATGGTAAAGAATAAAGTAATTCTTGTAGTGTTTTCTCTTTTCTCCCTCCACTTGAAGAATGCTTGCTGTGAAAGCTGGCTACTTCTCTTACGGGTTCTTTTATTGAAAAAGAGCACTTTTCAAAGCTAAACTTCACACACAGACCCAAAAAATGGTGCAGAGAGGAAAAAATTAAGTGTCAATTTTTGCAGTGATTTATTATATATGATATTAATATGTAATTTTAAAAGTTCTATGTGGTACTTAGATGATTATAATTTGTAACATTTTAACAGACTTGACTATTAAAATCTTACCAATTTTACTTTCTAAGTTTACATTTGAATTTAAGCAATTTAATAATTACTTGAATAGTAATAATATTTCTGACATTGCAATTACATGTGCCTAAAATGTATGCATTCAGTATTATCTTGAAAAAGACAGCATTTTGTGTTTGTCCTATATACCTTGTTTTAAAAAAAGCCATCGAATAGCTCTTTGATTTTCTTGTCCTACTTATTTGAAGGTAAATAATTTATCTTTGGAGGGGGAGTTATGTGGCAGAAAGAAGTTACGTAAGATTACTGTGGGTGAGTTAATCAAAAGTTAGATGTACTCTGGAAGCCTGATGGAGTTTTCTGTTTAATTTTTTATTTTTATATGTCCTAACCAAATGTCAGCAAGAGAATCAAATACTTTGGGTAAAACAGGAGGAAAAACTTTAATTTTTAAATTCAATTTTATTTTCAAATTACCTGAATTTTAAGAGGCGTCTGTGAGGGCTTACTGGGGACTAACATCGAGCAACCAGTTTTTCTGTTTTCCTGTGAGAAAAAGCTGCCTCTTAAAAATTAAAACATTAAACTGCCTCTTTTTAAGAGTGGTTAGCACTAAGGCATCTCGTAGCATGTCGCTGAGTTTGGTGTAGTTGGGGTAACTGTTTCTTCACTGTGACGCCTTCTGTTTGCTGTCTGGCCTGTACACTTTTCTTTGTTTTGTTTTGTGTTTTCCTTTTTATCTCAGTCCCATCGTGTCAACAATTGTGTGTTGGGCATAGATCTTTTATTTTCACCTAATGAGTACAAAATTCTTCTTTTCCTTTGTATAAGGACCTGCCAAAATTTTTTAACTCTTTGACTAAAAAAAGATCACATGGAAATGCAATATTGAAAAGAAGCATTACGGTATGGCCAGGATGAGGAAGAAACAGACCCCAGAGCCCCTGTGATATTTTCAGAGGGAGAGCCTTGTGGGCATTGATGGCCGGGTGCGTTTCTGCCCCCAGAGTTTCCTAAACATCGACGGGCGTCTCGGTGCCCACATGTGCCAGCCCGGCGGCCCTGCCCGGCCGGGTGCGAGTGCCGAGGTCAAGGCCCAGACAGAGTGCGGCTCGCCTTCCCTGGCAGGGCAGGGCTGGGTGTTGTCAGAAACGTCCAGATCGGCTCCACTTGCTGTCGGCAGGACCAGGCCCAAGCAGAAGCGGTGTGCTTGGCAAACGCATCCAAACATTCTTGGATTTTGGCAGTTCCCGTCTTCCAGACGGCGAGAAACGATGCTGGTGTGTGTCGCCTGGCCCTGACTTCCTGCAGGGCTTCACGTGTGATTTTGGGAACGCCGGGTGGGGGGCTCCGCAGGCGGCCTCTCCCGTCCCTCTCTCACACCCCCGCTGTCCTCCCTCCCGCAGGATGAGTTCCACCCTTTCATCGAAGCGCTTCTGCCCCACGTCCGAGCCTTCGCCTACACGTGGTTCAACCTGCAGGCCCGGAAACGAAAGTACTTCAAAAAACACGAGAAACGCATGTCCAAGGAGGAGGAGAGGGCCGTGAAGGACGAGCTGCTGAGCGAGAAGCCGGAGGTCAAGCAGAAGTGGGCGTCCCGGCTGCTGGCGAAGCTGCGCAAGGACATCCGGCCCGAGTACCGGGAGGATTTCGTGCTCACGGTCACAGGGAAGAAGCCGCCCTGCTGCGTGCTTTCCAACCCGGACCAGAAGGGCAAGATGCGGAGGATTGACTGCCTGCGCCAGGCGGACAAGGTCTGGAGGTTGGACCTGGTGATGGTGATCTTGTTTAAGGGCATCCCGCTGGAAAGTACTGATGGGGAGCGTCTCGTGAAGTCTCCGCAGTGCTCCAACCCTGGGCTGTGCGTGCAGCCCCACCACATAGGGGTGTCCGTCAAGGAGCTCGACCTGTACCTGGCCTACTTCGTGCACGCGGCAGGTAAGTGCAGTGGCGGTGGCGGGAGCTCCTTCCACTCCGCAGGTCACTCTCCTAGTGGCCTCGGGGTGCTGCACATTCTTGACTGAGGCACAGGCCGCCTCCAGTCAGTCATGTGGCTTTAGAGACAGGTGGGACCCAGGTGGAAGCCCAGAGCCATGGCTCCTCGCAGGCTCGGGCCCCTGGTAAGTGCAGCTGTCCCAGGGCAGGTGGTCAGACAGCGAGGTGTTCCAGACACCCTCGATGAGACCCTTGTCGTGAAGAGTGTTGCACTGGCCTGGAGTCCAGTGGAAAAGCCTATAGTCTGGCAGTGAGGCAGCCTTTCTAGTGGAGTTTCTCTTGCGAGTGTTTTTAACCTACCGAGGACTTGTGAACCTCCTGCGAATTAAGAAGTTGGAGGTGAGATTGCTATTACGTTGCTGATCGTTTCTGAAGGAAAGATAATCACACTAGTCCACAAGCTCGGTAATTTTGTATGTAGAAATTCTTAGTGTTGTCTCAAATAGCTAAGGGGACAACCCACTAACCTCTTTTAAGTCATGGATGGAGGGTGAATAGGAGAAGAAACTGGCCTGACAGTGCACGAACACATTGAGAAGTCGCTATTGGTAACTGATGGAGTGAGTTCTTTTGATTTTTCAAATAAAATTAATTATTGTTTTCTAAAGCATGTTTTACCTGCGCCTGTTTCAGCATGGAGAACAGCGTTCAGGGTAAAACTGTCGAGGCCTGGCTAGAATAATGCATTTTTACTTTGTTCCTTTCGTCCTGCTGTAGACAAAAGGCTCATTGTGTTACGTGAAGGCCCAGCTCTTGTGTAACTTGTTGACTTTTTATATGTATACTTCGGTCCTGCGGGATTGTGGTCATGGCGGTCGCTTGAGCCAGACGAAAGAAAGTAGCTGTTGCATCCTATAGTAGGTCATTTTGGGGTGTATTTATGGTTTTTTTTCACCAAGGAGAGAAGGATACTACCTGTAAAGTCAACACTGCACTGTTTTTCAAAAATATTTTAAACTTTAAAACCGCTAGCTATTTTTTAAAGACATCAGCTGTATTTTCTATTATTTTAGCGGTATATGATTTAGAAAGCGAACTTTTGTTACCCATCTGTGCTTACTTAAGAAACTGGAAAAATGAACTTTGCAAGCACGTCACATTGTCATTTGCATTCTGCTGGCAAGGGATAGATGAGTATTTTAGAAGATGTACTCTGTAAGCATTTCAAATATTTGGGTCTTTGAGAATGTATACTTAATTATAAGTGCCTGTTGCTTTAGCCAGTTCTGATGAGCAAAAAGGAAAAACCAACACCTCAAAAATATCTCCAAACAGGCGCAAGCGGCCCTTCCGTAGCCTTCTGTGAACACCGTCATCCATTTGTTTTGTGTATGACAAAAGCAGAGTTAAATGTTTTCATTTATCTGCTTTTCTGAGTGCATCAGGGTGCAGAGAAAGTATGGGTGTCACAAGGGCTTTCAAAGGGGCTCTTTTTCAAATCTTGTGTTTGTCTCTTGGATGTTTAGAAAAATAACGTAGAAGCTATAGTGAATGCTTTATCTGGCCAGCCCAGAAACTTGAACTTGCCAACAGGTTGATGTAGGCCAAGTGTGAGCTTCCTTAAAAGACGACGGCACCAAAATGAAATACCTGTGAAGCTTTGGTCCGCGGGAGCAGGGCCCATTCTACGTTTTCGAATGGAACGTTTCCCTTGGTGGACGGAAGTGCATCCTTTCGAGCTGTTCCGGTGCGTGTGTTGTGTCTCTTCCTTGCTGGCTTCTTATTATGCTGTTGCTTCGAACCCTGGAGCTAACACAGTTGCTGGCTGTTGTGATACCTGAAGGGGTGGTGTTGGTGGACTGACATTTAGAAGGTTGCTAGGAGCGTCGGCATCCTCACTGCCTATGAAAGATTTATTGACAGCAGCGTGGATCGGACTGCCTTTGAGTTGGTTTCCTGACATGGCCCAGGCGGGACCCAGACAGGTGTCCCGCCTCGCTGTGCTCAGATCCGCAGTCCTGGCTCGTGTCTGTGTGCGCAGCAGCGGGGTACAAAAGAAAGTCGCGAGGGCCTTTTGTGTGAAGTATTTCAGATTTGACTTAGGAGATTTAGAGACCTGTTATTTGTGGAAGGGAAGCTGCCAATATAAATAGGAGGTAGATCGGTCAACGTACATACAACTGATTTGACAAGCATCTGTTATAATACTGAAGATTTGTAAACACGAAACAATGTTTTTACCTCCTTAAAAGTTTTGAGAACTCGCCAGTATTGGCAGGAGGCAGAGCCTCTGAGACATGCTTCAGGGTACAGCCAGAAGCATGTGGCCTCCTCACCTATGGTGAAGCTTTTTCTTTCTTTCATAGATTTGTTGTGTTTTTCCTCTGAATCCCACCCCCATGGCCACAGAAATGTGATATTTTCTTTCTAAACATGTGTGCAATAATTATTGCATCATGCATTTAGATTTTCTCGGTAAAAAGTTACAGTGACACTGGAAGCAAATGCAGAATCAGTCATGTTTTTAAAAGCAGCAGCGAATTATTCTAAGGCTTATTGAGATGCGAAAATACAATAATAAACTACATTCCAAGTTTTCCCCTTAAATCTGTTGGTATTAGAATTATGTGAATTTTGTGGCTGATTGGCCGTAACAAATGTAGTGAAATTGGAGTGATTCCCTAAGCCTAAGAATTTCAACTTGTTAAAAGTTTAAAAGCAGAAACTCATCCTGTGCCCTTACTTTGGTCTGTTTCGGTGTTGTCCTTCCCGCGCATAATATGATGACGAGATACTATGGTATTGCGGCACGTGGTTTTCTTTGTGGCATGTAACAGTAAAGCTAATTTATGGCCAGTCTTTAGCACACGATCTGTATCAGAACCTACAATATACCCGGCACGTGGCAAGGTCACAATTTAAGTTGTTGAGGTCATAACCTTAGCCACCAGGCATTCGACCTTTTAGATAAAGTTAACCTTTGTTCATTAGTAGGCACTCAACCGAGAACTTTCTGGAGAGGGTTTTCTTTTTTGAACCTGCTTCTGTATGACTTCTGGTAATGTAATCAGATTCTAGAAGGATTCACAGGCCGGTTGGTTGAATTTTGAGAAAGCTCAGACTTTTTAAGGGCTTGTGTCTTGGATGGAGATAGATTGCTGTATTTGTGCCACAGAAGGACGTTGTCAGTGTTTATATTTGGTAGTTACTACCTGGGTGGGGTGGCGAGCGCTGCAGCAGCTGTGTGGCGACATTTAAAAACTAAAATTAAACAAATGGAATTACATTTAATGCAACCAAGGCCTGGGCTGATTTTCACGTGGCCTTGGGCCCAAATACTAAATCGCAACCAGCACCTTCAGTTTTTGCAAGCATGGACTCTCCTAAGATTGGGGGTATTTTTAGCCATCCTAAAATTCTCTCTGAAAGACTTTGTGACCAGAATTTATCAGGTAACTGCTGTAACCCTTTGTTAGTCAGTGACGGTGTGAATGGACAGAGTCCTCATGGCAGTGTGACTGCCTGCTCTAAGATAGGAGGTGAAAGCCTCTGCACACTGACTGCTTCACCCCTCCTGGGGTTTGCGTGGACCAGGGACGCAGAGGTCCCGTAGCTCCTGGAAAGAGCTGTTTCGGTATCTCAGAAGCTCGGTACCTGTGCAGTAAACCTGTATAGCGCTGTTACCCATGCCACTTTGTTCACTTAATGATGCCTTCGGGAATGCTCATTTTAAATTAGTGAGATCGCTGCTACTTTTGCTCTGATGTGCCATGTATTATTTAAACCGAGAGAGGTGTTCCCATTGAGGTGCGGCTTTACTTTGGCTTCGTGCTTGCCATTCCTTCATACGGTGACAGAGAAAGCATGATGTGCAGATCGCCAGATGGTCGTGCTGGCAGATTGGGAACGCACTTCCTACTGCGTCAGAGCAGGTGTACGATTAGGAGTGTCTGCGCGTGTGCATGTGTGCACACCCAGGCTGCACCCCGAGTGCTGCCTGGGCACTGGGGGTGATTCTTTTTTTTTTCAAAAGCTTTGGATAAGGTTAGTGCAGAGAGAAAAGTCATTAAACTGTTTTTAAAAAGGAATCATGTTACATTGTTATGGTTTATAATTTTGTGTCTAACTATAATTCCTTAATTTTTAGGTAACCTTTATATTAGTGTGAAGGAATATCGCCTAACTAAAAATAAGATGTGTACACGTTCCAACTCCACACAAGAAACCAAAACATGTTCTGCAGACATGTACTAATAAAAACTTTAAAAATTTAAAAAAATAAAATGTCACTATGTTCTGTTAGCAGGGCTGTGTGTGTGTGTGTGTGTGTGTGTGTGTGTTTATACGCTCAAATCTAGGACTGTGCATGGTCGAATTAAATTATTTCAATGTCGTAACAAACTCCCAGGCAGAAAGTTATCCGGTTGGTTTGTATGACTGAGAATAATAAAGTACGTTTGGAGAGAGAGGGAGTGAGATGAATACTCAGTGACGTTTAAAGTGAAGACAGGAAGTGTTCTCCTCTGTCTCAAGTTCTGGGTCTCACCTTAAGTCTCAAGCTAAACTTTGTGGCACACACACACATTTTTAGAAATTTTTATTTGTCTTTTAATTCTTCAAAAATAGCACTAGCAGCCAGCAAACTTGAGGTACACATGGCTTTTACACCTTGGACTCCTCTCTGTGTAATCTGAGGGTGGGCACGGCCCCTTTGTCAGGGCGTGGAGACCGAGTCCTTCGCCGGGAAACAGCGAGGGGTGGCGCGGCAGGCAGCAGAAGCTGTGCTGGGGGAGCCTCCGAGGGAGGCGGAATGCTGGTTGGAAACCCTCCCCACGCTGCTGGCCTTGCCTGGTCTTCCTCCCCACCCTGTGATGAATAGCATTAATTTAAACCTATTTAAGGCCAGTGTGGGAGAAACCGCAGGCTTTGTTGTGGTCAGTGCCGTACACAGTAGGACGGAGTGTCTCACTTGGTCAGGGCCTCCACTGCTTCCAGAGGGGCAG